TAGGTGAGTATCATTTTGTCACCTCTGGAAAAGTAGCAAGTGATTCTGTGATAAGGAAAGGGAAAAAAAGGTTGATAAAATGGTAGAAAAGGTAGGAAAAAAGGTACACAAATGCATGTTTTTAGTGCTGCAAATGTTGGACTTACAATGGAGGCAGTGTATATGCCCGAAGTATAAACAGCGCAATGCTGCCTGCATTTTTTGTCCATTCATCTCATCAGTGACTGTAACATACATAAAATATACAATTGAAAAAATTTTGTAAGTATAGTGTCTGCTGTCTTCAATGCCCCTTGTAAGCCACTTATTTCTCTCCAGAAGTCTTCATGCAGGCAAGTGTAATTACCTCCACTTCTACAGGTGGGGGAACTGAGAAATACCACTTATGTCTCCTACCAAAATTCAGGATGTAGCTGGGACTCTTGGGTGTGTGTAACTGGATCCAGCATTGTAATGCAGTGATTTGTCTCTCTTGTCTTCTTCCAGGCTACGATGAGTTCAGCTCTGTTGACTTCAGCGGGACATTCTATGTTAACACAGACCGTGATGATGACTACGCTGGCTTTGTCTTTGGCTACCAGTCCAGCAGTCGGTTTTACGTTCTGATGTGGAAGCAGGTCACTCAGACCTACTGGGAGGACAAACCCACCAGGGCTTATGGCTATTCTGGTGTGTCGCTCAAAGTAGTGAATTCAACAACTGGTACTGGTGAGCACTTACGAAATGCTCTCTGGCACACAGGAAACACCCCTGGACAGGTGAGAGATGCACTTTTAGGCAAACAATATTTTAAAGATAAGGGACATGTTTAAAAAATTTCCTTTCACACCTCAATTTTTGCAGATGTTTATCAGTGTTTTTTAATTCCCTTATTAGTAGTGTCAATAGTAAAACATTCATTGTATTTCAAAGACAGTCACATAAAAGGGAAGATGAGGTGTGATCAAAAGGAACATGAGAGCGATGTCTCAGTTATGCACAAATCCTTTGTTGCTTCTGTATTGGCACTTGCTTCTTTGGTGTTCCAGCTTGTTTGAATTGCACGTGGTTTAGAGTACAGTGACAGAAAAAGAGAAAAGACATTGAAAAAAGAGAGAAAAACTGCTGCTGTTCCAGATAGGGTTGAACCATGGAAAAAACTTGTTCATTTTGGAAATTAGGTTAGTAGGGCTTCACATGTGGATATGAATTCACAGGGCTGTTACTGAATGGGAATTTTTAAGGAGCAGCCACAGGCAGTAACATCTGTGCAAGCTGCAGTTCCTCTCCCTCACTGGAGGCACTCATTCAGCATCAACTCTGTCAGCCTGGTTGTGTGTATGTGCAAACCTGAAGAGTTCCAGAAGCATTTGGACAATACTCTTGGACACATGTGACCCCTGGGGATGGTCCTTTGCATGGCCAGGAGTTGGATTTGATGATCCTTGTGGGTCTCTTCCAATTCAGCTGATTCTTTGATGTCATAAGGGAAGTCAAGGTTCAATGCTTTAACAGTCTTCAGTGACTCTAGCTATGAAACAGCAGGAGAATAATTGATCGACAGTTTAAGGCAGAAATTTCCATTACTTTCACCCCATAAAAGTAGTATTTTGATGATACAGTCAAATGTTAAGCTATTTTCAGTTTCATACTCCTCAGAAAGTAAGCTTTGGCAGTTGCTGTGGTGGATGTAGAGTTACTGGGGCATGGTGTGTTTCTAATAAGGCATTTGTATTCCTACTGCAGGTGCGTACTTTGTGGCATGATCCCAAGAACATTGGCTGGAAAGATTATACTGCTTACAGGTGGCACTTGATTCATAGGCCTAAAACAGGATTGATAAAGTAAGAAATATTTCTGTACTTCTACATTTTCTAGTAGCAATGCTTTGTCTCTATTGATTTAAAAGCTGTTACCAGTTTCATAGTTGTTTCTGATAAATATGTTACTTCTGTGACTGTCCAACATTTTGGGAA